CATTTGACTTGGTTAATGCCGAAAGATTAGGAAATTCTGGCTCAGGATCTATATTAGAATTCTAGTGTATAGTGTCCACTCATAGCCAATCACTGGGTGAAAATTGAGAATTAGAAGGATCGACCTCATTTGGCAGGTGAAGAAACTGAGGGTCTAGAAGATAATCATCCCTGTGTTACTGTCGTATAAATTCACTTAGACGCTTATGCTAATCCCTCTTGTTCCTTCCTCTAGGGCTCTCCTAGCAGACATTGAAGCCCATTATCAGGACCCTACACTTCCTTACCCCAAAGAAGATAACACGCTCTTGTATGAAATCACAGCCTACCTGGAGGCAGCTGGCATTCACAACCCACTGAACAAGGTCACTGACCAGACTTCCCCTTGGTGTGATGGGAGGTGACTGGGCCCAGCAAGCAGGTCAAGTGCTAGAACAACCCGGCTCATTCTCTGCAGCCCTGCCCTTCTGAGCTGCTCTTCCCCACATGCTCAAAGATGCGTCCCTGTGCGGCTGACGCCGCCATGGTGCCCGGTCCAGACTGCTGCTGTTCTGATTTTTGGAAAACCTCTTGTAACTGAAAGTTCTTATGCCTTGTTACCAGATCTCACTTGATGGTAAATCTGTCCTGACCTGGCGTAAGCTGCCTATACTTATGTGATTGTTCATATTTTGATGCAAAAATACTAGTGAGTAATTATAGGGCCTTTCCCAAAGCCCTATTTTACCTTTCTAAACTGTATAAATGCAAAATTCTGAAGTAGCTATGACTCCCTGGCTTTTGGCTAAAAGAGTACTCACCTTAATAGCAACTAAAACTTTGCCATCTCTCTTTCTGCCTTTTTCTCTTTGCCTCCCTCGGGTCTTGCCGGTTTTCTTTCCCCTCCAGTTCTTGTTCATCACCTTCCCATGTTAGTGACATTAAGAGGATTCAGAAGGTGGCTGCTAATCTCTAAGCAAAATTGGTCCTTTCCCAGAGGACAAATTGTTGTACTGTAGGGATTTGTGTTGCACATAGCAGTGGTAAATAAAGCAGGCAGCACATTACTGGGACCACCTTCAGTGTAAGTGGTCTGAAATAAAATGAAAAACTTAGAAAAGGTGTGCTGGGGATGGTGCAAAGGGAAGAAGCCATCCATTTTTTCTTTCTTTTTGCAGATCTACATAACAACAAAGCGATTACCCTACTTTCCAGTTGTCAACTTCCTATTTTTGATCGCCCAGTTGCCAAAACTCCAGTACAACAAAAACCTAGGTACTATATGACCTTGTTTCCAACAAATAATACCCATAGAGTATCCAACCAAGCAGCTCTTTGTGTGGATTGCTCTCCCTCTCCCCTGCTACTCCCCCATGAACATCACCAAAGGCAAGTGGTTCCCTCGGCCGAGGTTGGCTGCAGGTGGGTAACGCACCCTCACGCCTTGCCTTGCAGGAATGGTCTGCCGAAAACCCGCCGACCCTGTGGACTGGCCGCCCCTTGTCCTTGGCCTGCTCACCCTGCTGAAGCAGTTCCACTCCCGGTACACGGAGCAGTTCCTGGCGCTGATCGGCCAATTTATCCGCTCCACAGTGGAGCAGTGTACGAGGTACGGAGCAACGGGAATACCTGGGGGTCGTGCTGCGGGACAGGCAGAACGCCAGGAAGACCCAGCTCTCCTTGGGGCCCTGCAGACCTGGGCATGGGCCTCTCACATGCCCTGAGTAGCCCACCAGGGCCGGGTCCTGTCTGCAGCCAGTGGCGGGGGGTGCCTCATGAATGATTCATGACCACGAGTAGCAGCCACCTACCTGGTGACCCCCTGGGGGAAGAGGCTCTATCTGGGCCTGCGCACTGGTGCTCAGCCCTGAGTCTGCTGAGCGGGGCCTCCGCCCAGGAAATAGGGCGCCACACCCTCCCTGCGATCTGGGAGCTCGTCAGGGTCACACCCTGGGCACAGCCCCAGCGTTCACGATACACCCCTGCTGTTTGATATGCATCTTATAAACCTTTGGTTCTTGCTCATTCTTTTTGGAGCCCAAATGCAGCTTTTCTAGCATAGGGGAAGAAAAGTTGTTTGCAGGAGTTGCTGGCTCCTGAGCTCCCTCCCTGCTTCGCTAAAGGCTCCATCTGGCTAAATTGTTGTCACATTGAATGCTCAAAATTTGAAAGACACACACCTGGCCGCTTGTGCCAGGGTTGCTAATTCAGAGAAGGACCTTTCAAGGACTCACAAAGCCTGGCTGATAGGATGATTGCAGAAGCCACTTACTTTCTCTCCCACCAAGAGCACGAATCGTCTGTCACGTGTCCCTGGAAAGTCATTCTGAGGCCACCAGGCACGTTGCCAGGCAGCAGGAGGATCCTAGCCCCCTGGGAATCTTTCTGCTTTTCCCCGGGCACTCTCTGGCGCGGCTTGTCCTGCCCTCGCCCTCTCGCCCCGCAGCCACTCTCCCCCGCACCGGTCTCTGAGTGCCGCCCGCCGGCCGCCTACAGCCTCAGCTCCAAGCCCAGGTGTGCCCTCGCACGCATGCGCACTCCACATTCCAGGTGCCCGCCCTCAGGCTTGCTGCCCAACACCCACACCTGCTGGTTATCAGTCAGGCCCCCTCCCAAGGCAGCACAGTACCCCGGAGTCGTCCTTTTCCTGGTTAAAAAGCCGATGGCAATGAATGGGGAATTTCACCACACCCCTGAGAGCCTCGGTGGGTCCCTTTTCCCCTTTGAAAAGGACAGAATAAATGCAGCCTCTCTTCTTTGCAGTGGTAGGTCAGCCACTACTGTAGGTCTCTGTCTCCATAAACCCCTTCTACCTATTCCTGACATGTTGGGGGCCGGGGGCTACTCGCCTTGGTGACTGCTTCCAGGGATCCTTCTTTGACCATGCTCAAATGCTGTTTTCCAAACTTGTGTCAAGATTCCGAATACAGCCACAGCCACACCTGAGAGTGGGGGGCCGTTGCCCTCCTTCACTCTGCGGAATGAGTGTGGCTCAGGTTTCCGTGCAGGGTCTCCCCCACCCTGGTACCCCAGGGGCTCAGGGCGCTTTTGCTTTCTTCTCAAATTCTGGCACCTTCCTCCCATGAGCCTCCAGGGGGCCATTTCACCCCCATTTCTATTAATGGTTTGAACAACAAACGATGTTTTTATAACACAGCTTACTATAAAAAACAGCAGATTTTTGAACAATTGATGGGGATTCTGAACGAAGCTGTAATGATCACCAAATGATAAGGACAGCCCTGGGCTCCCAGCTGCGGGCAGGAGGGGAGGCCTGGAAGATGAGGCGGAACTCCAGCTCAGGTGACCCGCATCCCAGCCGCCAAGGCTGGCAGGCCCAAGGCCAGTGCGGCTCCTCAGACTTGCCCCAGGACCACGAGAGGCCGTCAGCCCGGGAGTCGGGCTGTAGCCCAGCATCCCATAAGTCAGTGAAGTGGAGGGGCTGAAAGGAGCTGAGGTTGTGGCTCCAACTCTTCCTTCTTCAGAATCCCCATCAACTGTTCAGAAACCTGCTGTTTGCAGTAAGCTGTTCACATGTTATGAGAACATCGTTTATTGTTCAAACCGTGAGGCAATGGAGACGCCTTCCCTCCCTCACCCCTTGCAGCGCTAACAGAAATAGTCTCACTGGAAGGTTGAAAGTGGAGAGATGACACAGCCACTCTGAAGCCTTTCAAATGCAGAACAAAGGAATAGGTCAGATAGGTCGGGAATCCAGTGGCATAGAAGCCTCAGAAATGCCAGTCTGTACATAAGAGGCTCTCAGCACCTTCGAGGGTGCAATGAGCAATTTCCCGAGAAGACTTGGCTTTGTTGCCTTTCTAGCCCGAGTTTGGGCCACACAGTCCTGTGAACCGGGTGTGAGTGGGACCCAGCAGTCACTCCACAGCCTCAAAGGCACAGTGACAGGCCAGGAACTAGGTGAAGACATGCCCCTTGCCCTCAGGGAAATCTCACACCCAGGACTCAGGAGGCGTAGGGGGAGATGGCAGGTATAATGAGAGCCTGAGGAAAGGCCATCTGCAGAGGGGACGACATTGGAGGAAGGGCCAACCTGGGCCGGGAAAGATACCTGGAAATTTTCTCTGAAAGAAATGTGTAGAGCAGATGTAGCTGCAAAGATGAGGGACAGGGAAGGGCTTTATCAAGGACCTGGCAGTTGAGTCCCAGGTGCTGAGCTGGTACAGGGAGAAGAACTGAGACAGAACCAGGGGCTAAATTGGGAGGCGCTGGGAATCTCAGAGCAGCTTAGATTTTGTCCTCTGGGTTCTGTTCTGAAGATATGGGAGTGAGAATGATTCAACAGGAATCAAGAGGAGGTTCTTAGACATGTCACTTCTTTGACTTTATTTCACAATCTGTCACATTTAACCCTTCAGGTTTTTGACTGAGGGGCCACTATCAGCAAAGTTTCATTGATCCAGACTGTTCTCTGTTGCAGCCAGAAGATACCTGAAATGCCTGCAGATGTTGTGGGTGCCCTTCTGTTCCTGGAGGATTATGTTCGGTACACAAAGCTGCCCAGGAGGGTAAGTAGTGGATAAAGAAATCAATGACCTTTTGTAAAGTGACTAAGATGTTCAAATCACACAGTGCAAATAACAGTAAGAGCAGTTTCCAGTCACCAGGCTGGTAAAAACCCAAGTATCGGGCCCCAGTGCTTGGAAGGCTTTGGAAAACGGGGCTCAGTCCTTTCAGTGGACATGTAGCTGCCTGTCCATTGTCACAGCAGTTTGGCTTCATGGACATAAAAGGACTTTTCTCTATAATGGATTCCAGCAATCCCCTGCTAGGAATTTACCTGTGGATATATGTGCAAAAGTCTGTAAGATACGCATGCAAGGATGTTCGTAAGATTTAGCAAAGTGAAGGACACAAGATTATGTGACCCTGTTTTTGAGTGTATAAATGGAGGAATTCTATATAAGATAGTTAACAGTTTTAATTTCCCCTGAGGGATTGAGAGTAGAGATTTGCTTTATATTCTTCTAAATTTACTAATTTCTTCCAATTAGAAGTATATCATTATACTCAGGAAAAAAAGTCAACACCACTTTTTAAAAAATACCAGTTTCCAGCACATAAATCACGTAGTTATACAGCCCACCCAAAACCCCATTCCATCCTTCCCAGGGCTTCCCCCAGGGGAGTGAAGGAGCACGTGCCTTCCAGAGCCTTCCCCTCTGGCCTTCCCTGACGTCATGTCCTTCCTCAGCTGGAGGCCTGGGAGCTCACAGAGTCGGGGGACCTGGAGAGCACCCCCAGGTGTTAGAGCCCCAATCTGAGGAGCACAGGAGCAGAAAGCCAAGGTCCACCCCTCAGGTGCGGCACCTCACGGTGATTTGCTTTCCTCCGAAGGCTAGCGTGGGTCTACCTGGAAAAATGTGGATTTCCTCTGAATTATAACATGGGGAATCATTTAACTTGTCTGATTTATTTTAGGTTGCTGAAGCACATGTGCCTAATTTCATTTTTGATGAGTTCAGAACAGTCCTGTAATGTGTTTTGACTTCTGCTTCTCCGATCAAAGGATGATCCTTAAATCTTCCCACTATTACCAAAATGAATTGAGATGCAAAGAAACCCAACTGCTTTTAGAAGTGCATTTTCTCCTTTATTGTGGGAAACATCAAACATCCTGAGTAAGATGTACCTCCCTGCACTGGCTAACATTGTTTAAATCATGGTATTATATGCAATTTATATCATGTAGAAGCAGAACCATTTTTGTACTCCCTCTTATAAATGCTGAATGTAATTTTTATGTATAAACCCTCTTTTTTGTTCTAAAGAACTATTTGTGCAACTTCAGATTTTCAGTAAAATAGTGTTGCCAGTACCCAGTTGTGCTTCAGCTTGTGATTCACAAACTAGTCACCATTTCACCCTGCAAAGCACCTTGTTAGAAGAGCTGAAGCTGGCAGGCCCGACAGTCTCACCCCGACAGCTGGCAGGTACGGGGTAATGGCCTCTGCCAGTGTAGGGCCACGACCCAGGGAACACAGGCCAGTTTCGCGGTGTCTGAGGTTCACTGACCACTTTTCTGAGCCCAGGTGCTTGGAGCAGGGCGGGTTCCCAGGACCCCGCCCCCCAACTCCCTAATTATAGCTGCCTCTTTCTCAGCCACAGAAGGGGCACAGCCACAGTGCTGGCCCTGTAAGACCTTTCTTTCCCCCCAAAAGTGGCTTGGCCACTAGCTTTTCCCTCCCTCACCCCCAAACCCTAAATCACTTCCGCAGTCGTGTCACCTGGTTAAGAACAATGTTTTACCCCTGTGGCAGGCTACATCCTCTGCTTGTAATGACAAACCAGAAAGTGCACCGTGCCAGCCACTCGCGGCAAGGAGAGGCGGTGGGAGGGCATCTTCGGTGAAGTCAGCCTAAGTGACCTCTCAGGTTCCCGTCGTTTTCTGCTTTTAAGGGCATTTCTTCTGTCAGAGGTCTCAAGTCCTCAGATACTGAAGGGATTTGAAAAGCACCTGGGCAGCAGTGGGAAGGAAACAGGAGCCTCACAACCCATCTGGCTGAGGCCCAGCTGGAATTTTGAAAGTGGATTGTTGCCAGGCACATCAGAGAGGGAAGTCTCGCCCTCTGGTGAGGCTGGGGCGTCCATGGTCACCCCACATCCGCAGCTCAGCAATACCTTGTTTTCCGTCTGAAACAGGTAACAGAAGCTGCCTGAGGTAGATCGAAGCCTTAGCTCTCTGTGGAATAGCCGCCTAGAAAGCCAGCTGCTATTAAAAAGGCCACATCTAAAAAGGTGAGTTTTTAGCCAAAAATAGAAGCATGGGATAAAATACAGGGAAAAATCTCCAGTCTCAATTCGAGAGTCCACCCTATGTTGTTAAAATAAGGCAAAGTGACGCCACAGCTGATTCCACTCGTATTCTGGTTAATGGAAAGGCTTCTGAACTCACAGAACTTAGGCGCTGAGTGAGAAATCTTTATTGTAAAAGCTTTCCAAGTCATTTTAGCTGTACGTCTTAGAATCTGAAGTAGTCACTTAATTTTATGATATCTGGGGACTTACTAAAGTTTCAGGGTCCCCTTCTAAATGCCCATATCTCCTTAAATATACCATAAACTCAGTAAATTCTCGCTGATGTTTCGATGCTGTGCCAGGTAGTATAAGTGCTTACTTGTTCACTCCCTAATTCCTGGACTAACCCTCGCGTGGCTTATTGGTATGATACAGTGGAACTTATAAAGCCCTGGGCTGCTTTCTTGTCTGGCTATAATATTTTCAAAGAACCAAAATAAATTGCCTCACTGGATAAATGAAGAAACTAAGGTCCAGGAATATTAAGGCAACTTCACAAAGGCAGTCATCTGATCGTTTCTCTCCATTTTTCCATCCTACTTGAGTTGTCTTTTCCATTATCATGAAGCTTTGTAAAGAAGACTGTAAGCAACAAAAATACAGGTTTGTTCTTCATTTTATTCGCATATGCCACGACTTATCCCAAATAATGAACTCAAAAAAAAAAAAAAAAAACCTGCACTTCCTCAGTGTTAGCACTAATTTATGGGAACAATTATCTTTTAAATATCTACTGATTTTACCCTTCATTTTAAAATTGTAAATCAAAGTATGTATTTACATGTTTATGTACAAAAAAAAAAAAAACCTTCAGAAACAATCCCAATCTCGGTCCAAGAGTTTCCACTTGGAAGTGGCCTATTCTTACGCTATACACATCCTCTTCCAGAAGTCTCCTAGGACCCGGTGAGTTCCAGATATTCGGAGATGGTTCCCCTTTAAGATTAATGAACCAAGTGCTTAATTTCTGAGTAAATTAGAGGGAATATTACAGAACATGCTCTGTAGAACACAGCACCACTACTGAAAATGGCTCGAGGTTTCGTCATCCAAGGTTCGGATTTAAAGCAGAAATATGTGGCGTAGAACGCAACACCAAAGAAATGTCCAATTAAAACCAGGGGGTTAGGAGACAGTCTGTAACCGAAAAAACAAAAAGCTTATGTAAGTCAGAGGCAGGAAATTCTGATCACAAAAAGGTTCCAATTATGCATCATCTAAAAAGCTAAGTATGTACATAACATTTTGAAGACTTTACTAGTAAGTCTGAAAGCAGAGGCAAACAAAACAACTACTTTAGAAGAAATGGTCTAGAATACTCCTATCCGAGCAGCGGCAAGTCCAGCCTATTACATGCAGTGCATGTTTTTAGCTCTTTTCTTTCAGTGGCCTGGAGATGCCAGTCTGACCCGATGGGCAGAGGTCAGTCTGGGGTGTTCCAGAGGTACGAGACTCAATATTCAAAGTGCACATGAATGAAAAAAGGCCAAGAATTTCAGTTTACAGATTTTCAATAAGTCTACAAGTCTGCACCATCAAAAATATTACTAGTTTTTTAAATGCCTGCATTTTAATCGAATTTTAAATAAATTTTCTTATCTATGACTCTCATAGCTTAGAGCATGTGGATATATCCACAGGCAAAAAGCAAGTTTCGATTTCAATCAAGGGTTTCAGCCTCATTCACCACCAACTTACAAGCAACACTGTCTCCCAGAAGTAAAACACAGGACTAAATGCTGTGTTTTCTTTTCTCTGGGCAACCTTCTGCTGGGAATACTGATGGATAATAAAATGACAGCTGTAACTCATAACCTGAATATTCCTAAAACAATCTAGAATATCTATTTCCTCTGTGTCCTCAAACCAACTTACACAGAAAGCAGCCCGACAGGACCAGCAACACACTTTCCACCGAGTTTGAAATAATAAAAACATGCTTTTCTTAGTTGATGCAGGGAATCTAAAACAAAATTTAAAAATTACTCTCCATCAAAATATTCATACATTTATGTCAGGGTACTAATGATATGCCAGGGGGAAATGAAGATGTAACATAGAAGAGACCATGTTTTTATTAAAAATCTGTCCTGGAGGCCCTTTTCAGTCTGGTGAGTCCTCTCACCCCTGCACCGCTGACCTGTACCCCAGGTCTTATATGCATAAGTAAATTGTTTTTTGTTTTTTTTTTTTTAAATCTAGTCCTGAATTTCAAAACCCCAAAATTTCTCTTAAATTCTACAACCAACATTATGGATACTAATGTAAGTATGAATAAGTTTTTTTCAATTAGTAAATAGTTACTGTACAAAAAAATGTAGGTCTTGGAAGTTATTTTAAAGCTACTTCCTTGATTATGTTGTAAATTCAATGAACAATGCAAAATATTGTCAATTCTGTTATAAAATCTTAATCGTTATAAAATCTTAATCTTAAAATCCCAGTCTCTAAGATACCCAACCCATATATCCAAGCAAATTATCAAATAAAAAGAGCTCTAAAATAGCAAATAATATTTCCTCAGAATAACACTTTAAACCTTCACAACACAGCAAAACCAGTAAATCATCTTTTAATAGCTTTGAAGCAAAGTTCTTAAGTATGCCTAGAACAGCTTTCACAAAAGGTAAAAAAAGATACTTATTCCAATAAAGATCTTTCCTCCTCTAATCTTGCATAATTTTTCCTAGGCTATTTGTTAGTAAATTCAAAATCATAATGTAAGAAACCAAAATACTTAGGAAAAACCCAAATCTTAGTTTTTAGCTTTGTGTTTGCCAACCGTCACTTCTACTTCATAGCAATCGTCGAGAGATTTGATTGGCAAATAACAACGAGCAGTTTTCTCTTCTAACAAGAATGACAGCCACGGAGGCTGCAGAAGTAAGTGTGACCTGTCACCCTTCGTTACCCCATCACCAAAGCCTAGATCAGCTGGCCGAGTGGAGAAGTAGCTTTGGTGTAAACATCTGAAGTGAGGGAAACTGGCTTAGATTTATTTGTGAAAATCTACAGTTTCATTACTCTACCGTGAACTTATTTTTACAGTTCTCAGTTGACTTTTCTTCCATTTTGAAAACTAAGTCAAGTTTTCCTTAATGTTATGACTTAATGTTACTTCTTTACAAAATATGAAAATCAAAACAAAAGCATGGGAGGATTTCAGCTGAGAAGGTGGATGCGTCCTGCTATTTGCGCACTTCACCAGAGATAAAATCTCAATTGATAAGAAGCTCATATTCGCTTTATAAATACTCTGAGAAGAAACTGAAACACGAATTCAGGGAGCAAAAGATCAGTAACTACATTCCTACATTTCCATCACCATCTTAAGTGTTTGGAGATTTGCATGTTCTGACTTGGAAGAGAAGTTGAAAAGAAGGAACCATTGCTGAGGAACTGCTACTAGGTTTCCTAAGGGAAGACTACATACAACGTGGATATATAATGACCAGAAGCTAAAAGTCGTGCTAAAGGATGGCATTATAAGAAAACAAAACTATGAACTCGGGAGTTGGAAAAGCAGCAAACATTTCCATTTGAATTACTCACTGATTTTTGTAATTAAGTTCCCATCCTATGCTAAAAATCAATTATTCAGTACTGTTCATTAAAAAATAAATATCTCACCATCTGTGGCAGAAAATAATTCATAAAGAGCCTGAGCAAGGACATTCACAACAAAGGAATGAGATGTTTTTCTTGTCCAATAAAATGATTTTTGGGCCTAAAAAAGAAAAAAAAATCACTTATTGTATGGTACAGAACTATCTACAACTAGTTATGGTTTATGTTTATCATTTAAACACACACACACACAGTATCTCCAGAATTAAATTTACATCACATTGCGCAAAGTGGCCCATGCAATCCAATGTTACAGAACACTGAAATAAAGAAATTCTATGGCTTCCCTGTTGGAGCAGGGGCTAAAGTCTCAGCACTATTGAGCTATCAGCAGCTACTGCAACAGGAGTTCGATACCCAACCAGGGAGCTAGCCACAGGGCATTGCAGACCTCTGCTGTCCCGCCCACTGCTCCCCTCAGCAGTAAATTTCAGTCAGTCTGCCTGTTCTGCTCCCCACTCTGTCTCTGGTGAATCCCTCTCACGCCTGTGCCCCAGTTCTTGTATGCATAAATAAATAAACCTTTTTTTAAAAAAAAAAAGAAATTTGGTAAGATTAATAGGTTGTACAAGTCAGGATCTTTAAGCCTGGGCAAGACTACTTCAGAGCCATTTCTACAGATCAGGCTACTCACTGCAGACATCCCCCAACAAAATGTCCCATTCCTCTTCAGTCCCAGAAAGAAATCTCTTTTTAGCCATATTTGTCAAAAAATAATAAATAACGTTACCTGCAAAACTGCTGCATCATCATAAAGGTCAGGAATACCCATTAGCAATGTTCTCCATAGTTTTATATCTTTAAAAACAACAGTCATCCCTCCTCCAGTCAGAGGGTGCCTCATATTGTATGCATCTCCCAAAAGGAGGACACCTGTGGCGAGAACTTAGAACTCAGTTATGACTCATTTTGGAGCAGCCATTCAGACACGCATACAAAAAACAATCGGCAAAAAAAGACAGTAAGCTGGTTAAGAATACAAAAACAGGAACAGCCGTGACTAAAACTTATTGAGGCAAAAGTCCAAGAGTTGGTGGGGTTCATATTTACGGGGTACCTCGTATGTACTAGGTACTGGGGCCACAGTGAACGAGAACATGATAAAACTCACATGCGACTCTGTTTTAAGCAAAGAATGTCAAAATATTTAGAAACCCTCTTTCATAAAAAAAAAAAAAAAAGAATCGACAGGTATCCAGGCACATAAAAAGCCGATCTTCTACAGGGGAAAAAATCGGGTGGTGTTTGCCATTTTCCCAGCGGCTCTGCAGGATTCTGAAGGGAAAGGTCCACATCCGCAAGGAGAAAAAGCAGCTTTCGGAAGATTACGCTACCCAGGTGCTGGGGTTCAGCTTGAAAGGCGGCTGGCAGATGAGAGAATCCGCCTTGATTGAATCTTATCGCAAGCTCAGCCCTGTGAGACACAACTGCAGAGACAGAAAGCTCTGCCATGTCACCCAGGGCTACCTCCTGTCGGGGCGCCCAGACTCTCAGATTCTGGGTTTGCAGCTTTCTGGCTAATGACCTGTGACTTGCAGTGACACTTAGACAAAGCACTTGTTTAATTCTGTCAGTGAAAGGAAAACCTTGATAATACTGTCACAGTAGAGAATTAAGGATTTTTTTTTTCTGTAGTACCATACAACCATCTGTAACTGATTATAGTATTAATTTTAAAAAGGTAGCGTCTAAATATTCATAATTTTTACATAGAAGTATTCTAAGACCTTCACTAAAAAAAAAAAAAAAAAAAACCAGCTTATTTTTTTTAAGGTTTATTTATGCAGACAGAACTGGGGTATAGCCAGAGGTGTAGGAGCGGTGAGAGGATTCACCAGAGACAGAGTGAACAGGTAGTTCAACAAAGTACACTGCTGAGGGGAGCAGCGGGCGTGTCAGGAGAGGTCTGTCATGCCATGTGGTCACCTCCAGGGCCGGGATCAAGCTCACATGAAGACACCATAGCTAGGTTTAGCTTTGCAGTGCAGCGCTCCAAACCTCTGCACCACCGGGAAGAGCCCTACCCAGCTTTTATCGCACCGAGTAGGTTATGTTCCCACAGTATGTTGTTTAGAGCTCATTCTGCTACATAACACAATACATTACATGACCGTTATGGTAGTTTCCAGAGCAAACTGCATCCTGCGTACACTCAGGAGCCAGAACACGACAGCCCCCACTCAAAGTGCTCACCGGAGCGGCACGCAGGCTTCCAGGGGTGTCCCAGTCAGCTCCATGCAAACGCCAACCAGCACATCACGCGCCGCGCGCCCGACGCGGACTCCCGCACGTCCCTGACTACACCCTTCTCCCTGTATTTCCAGTGACTGCAGGTACCTGGCAAAATCATCAAGCCTGAATCCATCAAGAGGCCCACACACTCCCTTATGACTAAATCCAACAAAACACTGAGTTTCATGCTAGATATTACTTTCTTTTCTACTGCCCCAGTCCTAGTTTGGGCCTTTGGCCATCACTCGTGTGGAATAATCGAGTAGCTTTATTTTCAACTTTTGTCTGGACTTTCCTCCAAGCCATCCTCCACAACCTATGAGTAATACTTCTAAAACAAGAATCTAACCCTGCCACTGCCCTGCTTAAAAATTTTCAATGCACTATTAAATCCACTAAATGAGTTCCACAAGTTTTCAAGATGCAAAATAACTATGCAAAACCAATTTTGTTACATTTATAATGAAGTCCTAAAATGAAATTATGAAAACAAGTTGAATGAGTGGACAAAAGAGATGTAAACTCACATTTTGGAAACTGCACAATGTTACTGAAAGAAATCACTGCTGCATGCATAGTGATAGCTGAATTTTGAGAGGCTGCCAAGATACTTCGGGAAAGAACAGTTTTTCCAACAAGTAGTTAGGACCACTGGTATCCACGTTCCACTCCACACAAATAATTTAACACAAGCTGGCTCAACACTTAAAGGTAGTAACAAAAGTGTCAAAGCCCTAAAAGAAAATACAGGTGTAAACCTTCACAACCTAGCATTGAGTAAAGGCTTCTTAGATGTGACATCATAAGCACCAGTGGAAAAAAATATAAACTGGACTCTGCAGAAATTAACAACTTCAACTGAACAACATCAAGCCAGTGAAAAGACAATGCAGAGAATGGGAAACTTTTACAAAACCACTACCTGAGAAGGATACTGACATCTACGCAAATGTACAGATTTTTCCTCAACAATAAAAAGTCTGTCAACTTGCCCAGTTAAAAAATGTAGAGTTAGGGCCTTCCCTGGTGGGGCAACGGGTTAAACACAGCACTGCAAGCAAGCCACAGCGACTTCAGTGTAAGCTCGATTCCCAGCCTGGGAGGTGATCCATGTGGTGTGGCAGACCTCTCCTGACCCGCCCGTTGCTCCCCTCAGCAGTGTACTTCATTGATCTGCCTATTCTACTCCCCACTCTGTCTCAGGTGAATCCTCTCACTGCCCCTGCACCTCTGGCCTGTACCCCAGTTCTGTATGCACAAATAAATAAAACTTTTTAAAAAAATGTACAGTCAGGCCTCCTTGGTGGTACAAGGGGTTAAATCTCAGCACTG